CCGTGAATTATATGAACCAAAGCTTGCAGTGTATTCAAGGATATTTCAGTTTTGTTGTGAATTAACTCATGTATTACACTAGGATTAGTTCTGCAGGAACTGATCTAAAAAACAACAAAAGATTCTTAGGTGTTAATTCTCACTGTGTCATAGAGCTTACATTCCAACACTTCTTGTGAGAAAGGTAATAACATTAATATTTACATGTTTCAGACACTAGGAACATTCAACAAAATTTCTACCTTCATAAAAGTTAGTGAAACATTATGCCAATTCTGGTGTTTGTGAGCAAAATGCATATGAAATTTTGATTAGAGAGAGAGAGAAAATGCGAGAGAAAGATAATACCTGTGAATAACGAAAGGAATCTAATATGAAGAAGATACAATGGCGAAAAAATTTATTACGTTACCCAATTTTTTCATACTTCAGAATCATCGTCTGTTTTGAGGCCCTAATGCATGTAGGTGCAAATGTGTTTCATTGATGATACAATACTATCTAATTATTACATAAGTAAACTTATAGGCTGTCTGAGTATTGCATCAGTAGATTTTTGGCTATAAATAAAGCTTCTTACTGAGAGTCAGTTTAGAAGACTATCTGCAACAACGTGTCTGTGATGCTACTATGGCCAAGGGTTGCGAGTTAAACCCTCGGAAAAAGTAGTCATTGTTTCTCTGAGCAAAGAGGGGCTTTCGATAAGGCAGGACGCTAGAAGAATTAAATTTAACCAACCTACTGTGAGCTGCTGGGTGTAGAAAAATAGGGACAGGCTGTGTGGAGCGGCAGAAGGGAAAGGGTAGGAAGGAAGCTTCCACAGCAGCTGACAATCGCGTTCTAAAACGCATGAGTCTACAGAATCGTCCGTCGATTCTCGTCCACAGATCTCATATAAAAATGGCAGAAAACTTTAGGGGTCACTGTATTGCGTTCCCTGCCGGTCTCGCCTGCGTTCATCCAGTGTCCCAGCAAACCAGACGAAAAAGAAAATCTCACCTCATCAACATGATGAGGAAGATGAAACTCAACTGGGCCAAAGAGCATGCTGACTGGACTGAAGCAATGTGGAGCAAGGTGGTCTTTTCAGAAAAATCAAAGTTCAAACTGCACGAGTTTGAAGAAGAGATTTATCCAGCGTTTTTGAATGCAACCGTGATGAATTCACGTGATGAGATCATATGGATATGCATCACTGGCCAGGGTGTGGGGTGCCTGCATTTTATGAAAGGTACTGCCATTGCCGACAATTTCATCGAACGCCTCAAGTGCTGGTTAAAGCCAACAATTCGGGATCATTTCGGGGAGTTGAGCTGACCAGTACACATTCCAGGATGACTCTGATCCATTGCTGCATGCCACAGGGCTAAACAGGTTGGGAATATATTCATGCACTCTATGCATTAGACGTAAAATAAATAGAACATTTAATTCTACTTATATTGAAAAGGCATCTTAGATTTCATTTTTTCATGTGATTGACTATTTTCGAAGGAGAGGATCAAAATACTAGGCTGACCAGGCAACAGTCTAGATCTCATCCCTATCGAAAACCTTTGGAAGGCAATGGGTAATAAAATGCAAGAAAAGAAGCCTAGAAACACTTTGGAACTGCAGGAAGCCCTAGTCCACGTGAGGCATCATGAACTCACCCCTGCCAACATTCAGTCCTTTGTGCACTCTAAGCCACAGCAATGTCAACAGTTATCAAGGACAGAGGGAGTGCAATCAAATATTAAAAAAAAGAACCAGACTTTTTGTGCCAATTACACTAGTAGCATTATCTTTAAATCTAGGTTTTCTTACTCAGAGAATATTTTCTTATAAGCATTCTTTGTCAATTATATTAGTGGCGTTATCTTTAAATCTAGGTTTTCTTACTCAGGGAACATTTTCTTATGATCATTTTTTGTCAATTACATTAGTAGCGTTATCTTTAAATCCAGGTTTTCTTACTCAAAAAACATTTTCTTGTTTACGAAGTATTTGTTGATCATCTGCTGTAATGCGTTTGTCATGGTTGATTTAATAGATATGCATATATGTATTTGGATGACTGAAATATGAATCAGCTTACAACACACACAATACTCACAACCGTTTTACACAAGTTCTGACATTTCCACTATGTACAATCTCGTAGAAATTTATAGGAACCAAGAAAAATGTGAAAAAAAAAAAATTGGTGATGCAGTTAAATTTTCTACTTATCATTGCTTTCAAAGTTGGAAATAATAGAACAGCTAATACCAAAACTTAATATTATACAAGTAATTTTTATTCTACAAGAGAAAGCTGTGTTAATTTATCTCATTCTCGCTAGGTATAACATTAACACGTAAAACTTCAAAGACAGGCTGAAGCATTGTTTCCAATTACTTCAGAACCAATACAGTACCACATTATTACTGAAGTTGTTAACCTTTCTTTGTGTACGTCTGATGAGATGAAGATATTAAGAAGAACACGAGTGTGAGGCACGAACAGTTTTTATTTTACTATACTTAAAGGAAGCACGCGTTTTATAGAAGAAAACATACTCATTACGCTGTTCCTAAGTTGCAAGATACAATTTGATTGATCACATCTAGCAATTTACGAAAGATTACAGTTACTGCACAGGCAAATAAAGACTGATCTCGTTAAACAGACGTATAAGGCTAATTCTCACCAGTATATCTTTATAACTGTGAAGACATTCTACCATAGAATGCTGAAAATTTGAGCTTTCCAGTATTACGTCTAATAACAACAAGAAAATAACAACAAAATATCTTAATAAATCAAACGTTGATTTACCCTTTTTCTTTCCAAAGTGAAATATTTTTCCATCATCCCGCATCCATGACGTCACTATGACATGGTCTTTAACAAAACTAGGTATCTGGCATTTGAAAACAGCTGTATTACCTTGAATAACAAACTCATCGTAGACCCGGACTTCATAGTTCATATTCAACACTAAAACAAAAACAAAAAATCTTCAGTTACTAAGCAAGGAAACTTGCATATTATTAGCTGTTCAAACAAAATATGAGCAAAACTTGGATCAACAGCGAAACTGAATAAAGCCGGTATTGGTATACTTCTTATGTAGAACGCTATATTATGAACATTAAATATATATATGGTAATTCTGAGAAAAATAACGTATATTTTGTTGGGCTGAGTGTGACTTAGTAGCTGGCACGCCCATCCCGTGAATCTTTGTTAGCCAGAGGGGGAGGAGGGAGGGGAACACGCCTTCGTACTTTATACTCGTAAGTAAATAATAAGAATGATGGTTTGTTTGCAATTAAGCACAAAGTCACACAATGGGCTATCTGTGCTCTACCCACTACGGGTATCGAAAACCGGTATCTAGTGTTGTAAGTCCACAGACATGCCGCTGTGCTACTGGGGGGGGGGGGGATAATGATAGTAAAATTCTACTATTCGGTTAGACAACAGTATATCAGGAGTTGGCGGTGAGTGCTATTGAGCAGTAGTCTTCTGTCTAACCCATTTATTCTAAATTAGGGACGGCTATGTGCATAAAGCCCTTGTGTAGCTTCACACAAAGATTATAAAGAAATAAACAAACAATACTCAGCGCGGTCATAAGTAAATAGACACCACCTTTTCAGAAAAAATGAAAAATTTCCGTCATATTCACGTGAAT